AACTGTTCAAAAATGTTTTAGAATTAAAAGTAAGATTTAAAAAAAGATTACAGAGTAAAACCAAGAATACTGGTATTCCCATCTGGAAACAGTCATTTGATGCGATATTGAAAAAGTTGATTTTAGAATTCTTTATGCATGTTGATGCAAAACATTGCTAGTTTATCATGAGTGCTGACATAGATGCAATTAGTGTAGGAAAATAGTAAAATTAGTATAGTGAGTGTCTCTAAAACATGAAAAAAATAATAGTGTGAACAGTGTAAATTCATTTGAAGTACTGAAATATGACATAGACTAAATATCCGAAGATTTAAGAAATATTTTGGTCTGTGTCGATGGAACACTGAATGTGGTTGTAAAATTAGAAATGAAAATTATCAATACACTTAAAGGTAATCGAGATTTAGAACTGAACATAATGTTAGACACTTTGAAGACCTTAAAACTATATGAGAAAGAAATACATTTAGATATAAATGGTATTATACTGTAAAGTTGTGAATGGAAAATTTCTGAGTAAAACCTGTAGATGATCTATTATGATCGGAGAATAAAACAATTATTTTAAAAAATTGTAAGGAAATGTTTGAATATGGAGTAAATGAAAAACATTCATATCGTTAAAATGAATAAAAGGGAAAATGTTGGAATTACAAGTGATGAGACGGAAATAAAAACATTATAATAAATAAGTTAAACTAAGAATTAAAAATATAAACACAGAAGGGAAATCGTGAACGTAAAAAAGCAATTAAGAGTTATAGACTTAAGTTTTTTAAAAAAATATAATCGGTAATGTAAGGAAGATATTGTTAAACATGTGAGAAATTAGAAATTCTGTAGAAAATTTAGTAAAAGAACTAAGATCACGAAAAATAAACGTTTTTTTTTTAATAGAATTTCAAACCTCTAAGTTAGTGTATAGAATACTAGAATGGTATAAAAAAAGTAAATGAAGTTAAAATTCAGAATATATAGAACATTATAACGTTAAAAAATGTGTGAAATTGTATCTGAAAATTAATTAATGTAAAAAATAAACAGCATGTGCGGAAACGTTTATGAAATATGACATTATAAGTTAAAAATCAGGGTATGCTGAAATTTATGAAAGGTATGAAAAAAATAGTATGTGGAAATTAAATAAAATATTAATTAGAAACGTTAAGTATTAAAAAATTGACAGTCAATGATTATGTTATTATGAACAGAAAACCTAAGAATAAGTTAAAGTTCATGGAAAACTAAAAGGATAAAAGTATCAGAATAAAATTGAGTAATAAAAGAAATTACTTGTAGTTTCATTTTCATGACATGATGAAATATCATTAAAGGAAAGTCTTTTTTATATTTGTTTCTTTTACATTGTTTTCAGAGTCGCGCATTGAATAATTTAACACGTTAACTAGTGTGATGACGTTGCCTTTGGCCCCGCCCTCTGTGTGACGTCATTGGCCACGCCCCATCACCTCAGCTCCTCCTGGCGCAGAACCCCCATTTTTATGCTACTTATATTTCATTCATATTATAAATCAGAATGCACAAAATGTATATCATTTAAAGAATTATCTAATCGTTGCCACATGTTCTTTTCAAATACTATAATAAAGCTAGATCGATGTAAAAGAAATAAGCAGACAAAATAAAAAAGAAACAGTTTTTCACAGACGCTTGAGTATTTCTCATTCAATTAATTCAGTTTTTACTTCGCGACAAGACAAAAATACATAAAAGCTCAAAATATCTGTATTAAAAATTACTAATTATTAAAAATTAAATTACTAATCATTAAAAATTAAGTAAATCTTAAACACTTATTGCCTCGAAAAAATTCCGGAAAGGATTAAGCATGATTTAATTCGCAATAATAAGTGAAGGCGTTATTTTTGTTGTTGCGAAGCTTAGTCTCTCTAGATTGGCAACAAATCTACAATTCTGCTGTTTCAAATGTAAACAAATATGTCCGCCATGTTATTTAAAACTTAACCGCACTTAAACAGCTTTTAAACTGTTGATAATTGTACCAATATTGCTTCCAGAATTACGAAAGGCATAAAAACCTTAACCGGAAGATAAGAACCAACATAATTCCATCATTTTAAAAAAAGCAAGAAATGTACAATTTACAAACATATAAGAGTAAAGAAACTGAGATCACTGTGCCGAGTAACAAGTAGATATATATATAAATATATTTATATACGCTTTCGGTGCGGCCGATTGCAACCAAAATACGAGTTGCACATCTACATGTTATATAGCAGTCCTATATACAAAATTTCAACGTTCTGAGGCTATTCGTTTTTGAGTATATGCGAGATACATACGTACGTACGCATGAACGTACGTACGTTCGTACATACGTTCGTATAGACGCCACGAAAAATTCTCTTCAGAATTAATTTTAAAGCAGTTTTATAATTTTTTTGGAGGAAACGAGTCTTTTATTCTGTCCTTACGTACAGATATCATGCAAAAACATCGTTAAATTGCATTCGATAGCGGTCAAAATGGATATTTTCTTTGAAATATGTTGCCTGAACCTTTTCGCGATTACAATACTTCATTTTTACTTCGTACAAGGAAGTAAAAAATGAAGAACTCTTTGGTGATGGAACTTCCAAATTATGTTCGTTGCAAATTGGTTAGCTTTATAATATCTATACAGATGTTAAAAATTCTGCTGATGTAACAAGTACAATGTCTATTGTGTATCCATTACTATCAAATAAAAAGGAAGAAACACGTGAGGGAATTTTGTTTCTTTATTGGGCAATGGACGATGGATGGTTAAATATACGATTCTTTGAAGAAGAAGAAAGAGAATAATTAGCTTCAATATTAAATAACAGGCTTAGTAGCAGAATAATAGTATCCTATTAGAAACTTTGAATGGAAAAATCAGAAACCTTGGAATAGAGTATTATTACTAGAAAATTACAGTTTTTCTCAAACATTTTTAATCTGGGGAATACGTTTTTTAGTCATGCGAATTAAATTAGTATTCAATGAATTCTTTTTCACTTTCTCTCGCTCTAACCAGTGGCCGAGCCGAAAAACCGCTGAAAATTGGTAGCTGAACCCGGGATTAAATCTCGGAAAACAGGCAGAGTGCTTAAGTATTCTCCATGAGTAACGTGGAAACGAGACAGCTTTCCTTAACATAACCTGCATGAAAGTAGATAGCTCTCTCTCTCTCTCTCTCTGTCTGTTTTTCCTCATTTCACGGTGCAGTGTCTGTTTTTTGTTTACATTACTCTTGCATTCTGATAGAAACCTATATGAAACAGAAATTAATGACTGAGCTTCATTGATTTTCACAAATCAGAAATTTACTTTTAACGTATGATTTAAAACTGCTTAAATATTCCCGACTGTCTACAGTAAAATTACGTATTGTGGATAAAAATAAATTCCAGATATTACTGCTAACATTGCTGTTATCTCAAATATTTTTATTTATTTATTGCATTTTTAAATTTTGTTTTACACTGATAGTTTGTTATAATAAGTTTTTTTATCCTTCCGCATTAAACGAACTTTATGTTTTTTAGAGAGCGTTCGGTTAATCTGCAATCTGTTTTGTCCCGAGATGAATATGAATACAAAGCTTAAATACCAAGGCGATGAAATTTTACATAGATTAACTCTTCAGTGATTACAGCAAATTTTTAAGAAGCACAGCATTCATGAACTATTATAAAAAATATCATCGACTATGGTAGAAATTCACATTTAATCATGATTCTATTTTAAAATAATGCATTTTGTAATGCATTTATATTTCTGACGCATAGCTGTTAATTATTCCACGTTAGTGTATTTATGGATTCATGTAGAAGTTGGAAGTTCTGCTGACGTAACATTGCCTATTATCTACCTATTACTACCAGATAAAAGGGAAAAAAACACGCGGAAGTTTCTGCGAAAGTTTTTTTATTTTTTATTTATTTATTTATTTATTTTTTTAAATAAGAAAAGGAAATTCTATCATGGCCACCAAAATCGTTTAGAATCATAATTTGAAATATCTGCTATTGATGCTGTTAAGAAAGATTTCGCTTCTATTGAGGTCAATAGCTGCAATTTCCATCATACCAAACGCTTGCATCATAACCAGCGTGGAGGTAAGGGCTAAATTTAGGTATGATAAACTACCATATGAGTGAACGAGAAATTAAATCTCAAATTCGATTGTGTTTGAAGATGACTCAGATTTCTTTCGGTGCAATGAAAGACGGCTCGTTAAGAAAAAAGAAGAGAAAAATTTTCGATAATTATATGGCGAACAATGATTAAAAAATGACAGCATTGGTAGTATATAGAACTGTTGCGATGATCGCCACAGAAGAAAGAATGTCTTAGAAATAGGGAATAGCCAAACGTATTTTATACGAGCAAATATATTAAACTGAACACTTTTTAAATAAAGTAAAATATCATAACTTTAGTGAAATTTAATGATAACAGTAACAATGACAGAAGTAAGAAACAAATAAACAAAAAAATAAAGAGAAAGTTACGTACTGAATTTGCTAGAAATCTAATTCAGTTTTTCCAGGTATTTTAACATTAGATTTTATAATATGTGCAGAAATTAATAATCATATATTTTCATTTTTCATGCATTAGGAAGTTATAAATTTTCGTCAATATTTAATTTTAATAAATACATTCATTGCCATAAAAAATTGCGCACGAAGAAAGAGTCGTCAGAATGAAACGAAATTTTACATATGTAAGTACTACTTTTTGATATAAGTAAGTGATTAGAAAATCAAAGAAAAAAGGATCATTTATTGCAAAAAAAGCACACATGAACGGAAGTTTCAGTACTCTGTTGGACCACCTCTAGCGCGAATGCACGATGCGATACGAGCGAGCATTGAGGCATACAAGTTCTATATGGTGTCCTGAGACATCTCGTTCCAGAGTTGCTGTACACGCGCCTCTAGTTCAGCCAATCTCGTAGGCTGTCCAACTTGCCGTCCCAAATGATGCCAGATATGCTCGATTGGAGACAAATCAGGGGATCAAGCAGACCAGGTAAGGATGTTAATGTGGCGAAGGCGGTTTGGTGAGATCCGTGCTGTGTGTGGCCGAGCATTGTCTTTTTGAAAAGACTCTTGGGAGCCCTGCCATGAGTGGTAACACATGCGGCTGAAGGATGTCATGGACGTACCCTGGTCTGTTATTGTACCATGGGTCAATATTATGGGTGACCGTGTATCATAAGCAATGGTACCCTATACCATCACACCAACTGTGGGAACGGTGTGTCGCTGTAAAGCGAAGGCAGAATTGAGGCATTCACCACGGGGACTCCACACACGAACACGATTGTCATCACTGGTCAAATTGAATCATTGCTGAAGACGACCTGGTTCCATTCCTGACGACCTGGTTCCAATAAGTCCAATTCTGTCGTGCACGACACCATTCCAAACGGAGGCGTTGGTGGGTGGATGTCTTTGGCAGCACACGTAGTGGGCGCCGCGATACCAGATGTTCTTCAACCAGGCGCCTTACGATGGTTCGGAAAGACACAGGGGCCCGTAATGAAGCTGCTGCCTGTGTTTAGATAGCGGCCAATGAGGATGTTGGCTCTATACATGCGTGTCGTATGATGTGACGGTCTTCTCGACGACTGGTCTGTCGAGGGCGTCCTCAGCCTGGTTGCCGTGTAAATGGCGTCTTTTCTGTCCATTGGTTCCAACACCTCCTCCCAGTAAAATCCGAACGGCCTACCTGACGAGCTACTCGCCGAGCTGACCACCCAGCTTCCATCATCACGATGATTCTTCCCCTCTCGAACTCTGCTAGCTGCTGATATTGGCTTTGATGATGGCGTAACGGCATGTCTACCTCAGCGTTTCCTTAGCAAAACATTAAGTACATTCAAACAAGCTTCTGCTTACCTGTTTTATACTTCATGAATAACGAAGTTCAACGCTCTCTTAGTGGCATTACCATGCGCAATCACGCTGCATTTCTAATCATTTGCATATCTACCCGACATGTTCCTTCATGCCAAGTTTCGTAAAGATCCCACAATTATTTCTTGGTGCGCAAATTTTTATGGCAATGTGTATATTCTTTTCGGATGCTGATGTTTAGTTAATGTCATCATTTGTAGTTGCTGGAAGGCATAATTTCTTATGGAATTTATATCTTTTGTTTTATTTATTTTGTGTTTTCTTTTGTGTTCTTTTGTGTTTGCACTTTTAGGTTGTTCTCAGCCACAATACGCCACCCAAGACTTATTCTTTGCCATCGAATATAATTCAAGAAAAGGGAATCAAAAATCATTCGTTATTTTTACAGGAGGCAAGACGTATGAGTGTGATGCCATCCTTCTTTGTACTGGGTATTTGTACCACTACCCATTCTTCCATCCAAAATGCAAAATCGAGATCACAGACCACAAAGTATCCCCTCTGTACATGCACCTATTTCATATTAATTATTCAACTTTGGCAATATGGGGTGTTCCCAAATTCATCATACCTTTTTCGATTTCTGATCAGCAAGTCAAGGTGTTTTTGAAATTTTTGAAAGGAATTGTGAAACTTCCGAGCAAAGAAGAAATGAGAGCCGAAGCCGAAAGAGATTTCTCCAAACGACTCAAAAGCGGTTTCAAACCGAGACACGCTCATGTTATGCAAGGTGATCTTCAGTGGGAATATGATGACAAGTTGAGTGAGTTGGGTAAAATAAAACCAATTCCTGATGTTATGAGAAAGTTGTTCAAACACGTTCATTCTAGGAGAATTCAAGATGGTTTAAATTATAAGAAACTTAATTATAAAATAATTGATGACCGAACATTTATAGAAATTGCATAAATAAATAGTTATTTGTATGAGAAAGAATTAAAAATACCTAAATATGTATATTCATACACACACACACATTGGAATGTTATAATATAAGTACTCACAAATGAAACAGCCGACGGTGAAGCATTACAATGTTTGACTTGCTTTGGGAGCGTAAACTAAGTTCAAACTCCTAACAGAGTGAATTATTGCTGTGTCTTAAATTAGACTTTAAAAGGTTTAAAAAGAACTTTTTATTTATCAGAACTTCTAACATAAATGTACTTCTTGTGTAAACAGCATCAACCACCACTTGTGCTTATCTAACTAAATTCAAATTTAAAATGTGGACTAGTAGTCAGAGACTACACGATTTTATTGAAATTTAAGCTGAATCAATAAAACTAAAAACTGATGATTCAAAAAATTAAAAGAAAAGGATGACTGAAAAACTAAAGCACTGATGCGCCAGTTAGTTGGCGCATCAATTTAAATGTCAGCAATAAAACAAAGCCAAAGAATTACAAACTTATCGGAGCTGGCAGAACTCCGCAACGTGGCCAGAAGAGGCAGAAACACACTCTGTCTTACAATCCAAAAACCTCAGCTTAAATACTCTTAATCTCAATTTACGTTCTAATAACTCGTTAGTTTCAAATAATAACCCTACACATTCTTTATGATGTTTTCACGTTTTCCTAACCGTATTCATTGAAAATCGATTCAGCCCCAATGCATTCATTGCAGATTTAGTAACCGGTAGTATAACTGATTGTGTAGTCACTGATGGAATGGCTTCAATTAAGAAAAACGCAGTTCCTGTACTGCATGTTTTTCCAGTGAGGAAATTCTTGAAGTGCTTGCTCATTGACTAGCTGAAACAGTATGCAAATATCTCTAGCACTGCTTTTTTATTTTTCGGTGAATGTCTGTTTTTTTTTTTTTTTTTTTTTTTTTTTTTAAATTTTCAGTAATTTCAGTAACGAGTGGAGACCTAATTCTAGTTTTACCTACTTACACGCACATAATTCTAATTCTGGACCGTGTTTTCTTCCTGGCATGGCCTATTTGACTGTTGTTTAATGGCGTCATACATATATCCCATCATATATGTGCGTATGTGCCTAATAACTCAAGCTAAATGGTTTGATATATTTATAGCACAGCTATCTATTATTCAGCTTATGATATATTTGTCTATTTCCGTATTTAAGATATTTTTTGGACTACACTGGTGTGCAAAAATTAAGGACGAGACGGTTTTTTCAATATAACCTTGTACAAAAGCTTTCCAAATCAACACATTTAATACCGTAAGATCCCCAATACGTAAGGACATGAGTAATGTAAGCAACACTTACTAAAAGAGAAATCAGAGGGATAAAAAAAAAGCTTTATTGAAAAAGTAGCATGGAGCGCAATGCGACTGAAGGCCGAAACATCCCTGTGATGGTGTCCAGCAAGAAACATCCGGTCTTTAATAGGGGATATGATCTCCCCTGACTGCTAGGCAGTTTTCACAGCGTCTGCCCATGCTGAGAATGAGGGTGTCAATGAGTTGTTTGAGGCATTGCTGCCATGTCCCCCTCGTCTTGCATCGCCAATCGAAGCTCCAGAATCGTTACTGGTGGTAAGGTACGAGCTGCCAAGCGTCTGCCTAGAAAATCCCATACATGCTTGATGGGATTGAGATCCGGAGATCGTTTCTTTCTTTCTGCCAATCCATACGTTTCAATATCCTCACTCTTAAGAGCTGTTTCGGCAGCTACTGTGCGATGACATGGTGCATTGTCGTCCATGAAAAGGAACTGCGGACCCATACCGCCTCTAAAAAGACGCACATATGGAAGAAGAATCTCGTTACAATAACGGGTCCCGTTCACTGAACCTGCGTCGAAGATGTGAAGGTCTGTACGAATACCAAGCATGATGCCTCCCCTAACGAGAACACCGCCACCTCCATACCTGTCCTTTCAATGATGTTTCGAGGGATGATTGCGGCTTCCCCGCTCTCTCTCCATGATATCGATAGATGCGATGAGAATCGCTACTCAGACTTAATCGGCTCTCATCTGTAAAGAGTACTCGTCCCCATTCATTGTCCTCTCCAATTCCGGTGTTCCCGGCACCACAGAGAACGCCTTTTCCGATGGGCAGGCGTTAGAAGTACACACCGTACAGGGCGTCGTGCAAACAGACCACCACCGTGCAGTCTTCTGGCCACGGTAAAACGCGATATCGGTCGTCCAGTCGTCTGTGTCGTGTGTCTAGCGATTTCTCCCGCTGTCTGCCGCCTGTTTCTTCTGGCCTGTAAGGCAATATACCGGTCATCTGCGGGTGTGGTTCCTCGTGGACGACCACTACTAAACCCTCGGATAGCTGTTCCTGTGGTTTGAAATTGTCTCCAAAGTCGTGAAACGATGCTGTGAGCAACCCCGAACTCTGCAGCCACACTTGTCACACTGCGGCCTTCCTCCAACTTCCCAATGATTCGACCTCGGGTAAAAGCATCCAGATGTCGTCTAACAGATTGATTATTCGCCATTTCTCGCTGAGGCAGCAACTCGGTGTGATTTTAACTGCTATACGGAGTGCAATCTCTTTGCCAGAAATACTGATCATATGATCTTACAACCGACAACATGCTTTATACTACTCAGACACTCCCCCATTACGTCTACCTGCATATCGGCGCATATCGGCGTACATCACCTTACTTAATCTCCTGATTGGTCTTTCTGTCCGCTCTGCCTCTTCGTTCAGCTGATATGCTAATTTTTCGACTTCGTCCTTAAATTTTGCACACCAGTGTATACGTGGTACATGTTTTTTGGACTACAGATCGGCTCTAAAGTACAATAATCAGATACGCATTTAATCAAAATACAGTTGATGAGGATTTCAATAGATTGCCAGTTATTCGGAGATGAGAACAGTATTAAATTAGAAAACAGATTCATTAGCAATATATTTGTTTAGTGTATTTAAAAACAGTTTTAGAGTTCTTTAACGTCTGTTAAAAGATAACATCTGCCTTAAAATAGCAAGTGCTATTATTACTATATTGTTGTTACGTACGTATATGTGTGATAAATATTTATTCAAAATTTATTGTAGTTAGCCTAAAAAATAATTTTTTTCTTTTAACGTTTTAAATCTTAATGTGAAGTAAATTTGCACCATTTTTCATTGTAAAGATCATATCAATGGTAGATGAGTGAAATTTGAAATTCTATATATCATTTTTAGAATATGTATCTAAAACACAATATCAAGAATTTCAAATTTTCGCTTCTTCACAGTATAACCTCTTTAAAGCATCTTTCTCTTTTTATAACGTATGTATTTGGATACTTGGGTAAAATACTAAAGAAACTCTTGCTCTGTCTGGACAACAATTACTCGCGCAGTTTTTTGACTTTAGCCCATAAAGATTTCGCAATTCAGAAAGTTTTTTCATGTTCTCCTTGTAGGTTTTGGACGAAGTCGGTAATAATCCTCGAGAAAGTTTTCCCAAAACCGTGTAAGGATCCTAAGTTTTACTAACGTTTATTTTATTTTAAATCTTTACTATCACTTCTTATTTTCTACTTCCGACCAGAATTAGAAGCTTTAACTTATTTATGCAAATTTGTCTTGCTAACGCCAAGTACTTAAGTTGTGGCTTTTTGCCAAGCAAGAGAGAGGAAGGAGTTATTAAAAGCAGGCCGCTTGCCATAGTAGTTTTTACTCGGTTGCTGGTTGCCTTCAAGGCCAGAGGTTTAATCCTCTTGATAATTTTAAACGTATCGTAGTGTTAGCAGTTCTCTGTACTACATACGGCTTTTGTTAATAACGGCCAATCTTGAAGTTAGGCACTTGTTTATTAATCCAAAGTTAGTTTTTAGTTAGTTTTTAGTTTATTTTTATATTCTTACGTTCAGACCACAAGTGGTTGGTCTCTGTATTCCGAAGTCCGGAAATCATTGTAAAGAGAGAAAAATAAAGGGTTTCGTATACCCTTCCTGTGTGTATTGTCTACTTCCCAATTTATTGAACATAGCTTTAGTAAGCTCCCTGTTCCGAGTCAGGACAGTTTATGTTTCCCAAGCAAGTAAGAGAGACACAAGAACCTGATAGTGGCGCCCGACGAAGAAGAATAACCATGGCCGAGTTTCAAGAAGAACCTGTGCTGCCTGCAGAAGCGGCTCAGAATCCAGAAATGCCAGCTGCCGCCCTGGAAGGATTTGGTTACATCGTCCAGACCATGCGCGCATTCGATGAAACCAGAAGCAACATTTAATGGAAACTCACCGGTAACCAGTTTTTTGGAAAAATTGGATGACCACTTCATGCTGTATCCAGTGCATGAGTTCCAGAAAGTCACCTTAGCTACCAGCGCTTTGAGGGGCCAAGCGCTTAATTGGTTCAAATGTATAGGCAGAAGTCCTCTTGGGTCAAGCGGAAGTCCCACCTATACTTACGAAAATTTCAAGACTGCCTTAGTAAAAGCCTTCCCTGTCGTAAGAGGATCGTGCGAAATTAGAAACGGAACTTTTCAGCATATACCAGCAAACGAATTGAAAATCTCTCAAGCTTTATTTTAAGAAAAATTCACGTCTTCAAACTCTTGTATGGAAACCGTCCGGATCCTGAGATAATTCAAGTGATTTTGCCGAGGTTACTTCCCCAAGTACAAGACTTTATTGAATTAAGGAATCCGACTACACTGGAAACGTTATTTGAGCTAGCAATCCAGTTTGAAAGTAGAAGAACGGCGGACATTGAAAGAAGACGCCAATATGAGCAACGAAGCCAATTTGGTGCGCCAAGACCACAGCAAAGTCAAGAACACGGCTACGGAAGCAAAGCGAATCAGTGGGCAAGGAAACCCGAGTATCCAAAAACAACCGGCGAACGTCGACAGTTCAATAGTAAGCCCAGAAAAAAAGTCTGAAGGCCAGTGGAAAAAGAAGGAAGGCATGGAAAGGAAGAAAGAAAATTTAAACTAAAACGGATTTCTGCTGACGGGAGGGTGCGGAAATCCGAAGGCCAAGAAAACCCCTCTTCCTTCA